GCTAGCAGGCAGCCCCGTTCCCAGGTCCTCGGCCAGAGCAGACGGCAGCGCCTGGGGCAGAGGCTCACGGAGGAAGCACAAGATGTAAATTCCGTGCAAAGACGCGCGTGCTCCTCAGGCTTCTGGACACCAAGCCCCAGACTGCTGCCTTCACGGTCGCATCGCAAGAGCCCGTCACTTAACCAGTGCCCTGTAAAGCTGGTGTAGCCCAGAAGGAAGCCATGCTCCTCAACATACAGCACAGGAATGGCTTTCTTGTAGCTTCATGCTCTGCGTAGTAGCTGGCAGCTAAGGGGAGCAAAGCACTCTCCAAAACCAGGCTGCCCTACACCCTGGCATAAACAGCTCATTTGTCTACAGCGCCGCATCCACCCACTGATGCTGGAAACCCGCACGCGGCGCTGGCCGCCCGAGCGAAGGGCAGGAGGCAGAGCTGCCGCGGCTCTGCAGACGCCAGCCTGGCGAAGGAGCCCCGCAGGAGGGCTGGGAGGAGGGCGGCCAAGAGCCGGGAGAATTCAGCGATGGCTGATGCAAAGCCCTTCTGAAACCTGCATCTGCTCCTGATGCGCTATCGAGACAATAGTGATTTGTGAAGGTATGAAGTGTATGAACTGAGCCTCCATGCAGCAGCTTTATAGATTTCAGATAAGGGCATATTATGGATAGATGCCATTGAAACTGATGTTCCCTAGTTGAACAGTCCCTGAGAGGTTCAAGCGCAGGAGCAGTGGCTAATTCATAACATTCCTGGATGCACAGCCTTATCTGCTTCGACAGGCTTTGAGCTGAGATGGCCTGACCTTTGGAGCTTTATCTAAAGGCCACAAATAGTCTGTTTGACTTTCTAAATAGCTTAGTCCTGTCTAGGCAGTCACTGATTGCTTTTAACATTCATAGTACGTAGCCCCATCTCCCCAGGACACGTACTGGTCTTTGGAGAAAAATAAAAGCAACAATATAGATTGAAGTGCAAAAAAGTAATTTTAAATCTTGTTATAAATTTGGGGTACTAGGTAAACAGCACAGAGCTATCTGCGATAGGCTGACAATATAATTTGCCAAAGAGATCCTCTTGGCCTAGTTCTGGCCTCTGAAACGAGATCTTCGGTAAGAACAGAAGTACTGCATGAAAAAGTCCTGGCATGCAGAGATGCCCTTCAGGCATGTAGCTAGGACTAGACTCAAGGAGCAGGA